TGCCTGGCCCCCACATTTGTGTGCTGACGCTTGCAATGCTTTTGGGTGCCCATCTGGCCCAGCACTAAGGGTGGAGGTCTCCTGTCTGCCACTGCTCCTCTGACCTACTCAGACTTGGCTCTCTGGGCTTCATAATCCTCTCACTGCCACTTCACTCTTGAGGATGATAATAGAGATTATATCAGAGAAGGCCACCCAGATATGGTTATGTCTCCTCACTAAAAAAGCACTATGAAACAAGTAGATGATAAACAAACAAACAAACAAACAAACAAAAAACAACATAATTTCATTTTTTCCCCTTTGAGAGCAAGGACTAGGGTGCCTAGAATATGGAAGTTATTTGAAAACAGGGGTTGCCCTGAGGTAGGGGAAGGGAAAGAGAAAGTGTGTGTAAGAGGAGGTTGTGACATCAGCTATTTGGGCTGATTGGGAAGAACAGAAGCCCAGTGGCATTGTAATTGTCCTGCAAGGTGGTGGAGCGGCAGCTGGGCATAGCAGGAAGCTGCTTGGCTGGGGCTTTGCCCACAAAGCTCCACCTCCATCTCATCTTCACTGCCATCAGAATTCTCAAGTCTAAGAGTCTTTTGTGCTGACAAACAAGTGCCAGTGGGACCAGGGAAACAACCCTTTTGACTGTAAGTGGGAAACTGTAAGCCACATGCATGCAGCACTTAGTGCAAGGTGGGTACTCTGCAAAAGCTGTGATGTGACGGGTTCACTCCTTCCTCTCCTTTATTTTTTTTCTGTATTTATTTTATTTTTAATTACACTTTATTTACTTTGTATCCCCCCTCTAGTTCTCTCCCTCCTCCTCTCCCAATCCTTCCCTTCCTCCCCCTTCTCCACGCATGCCCTTCCCCAAGTCCACCGGTAGAGGAGGGTTTCTTTTTCTTCCTTCTGATCCTAGCCTGTTAGGTCTCATCAGCAGTGGCTGCATTGTCTTCCTCTGTGGCCTGGTAAGGCTGCTCCCCCCTCAGGGGGAGATGATCAAAGAGCAGGCCAATCAGTTCATGTCAGAAGCAGGCCTGTTCCCATTATTATGGAACCCACTTGGACACTGAACTGCCATGGGCTACATCTGTGCAGGGGTTCTAGGTTATCTCCATGCATGGTACTTGGTTGGAGTAGGAGTCTCAGGAAAGACCCTGGTGCTCAAATTTTTTGGTTCTGTTGCTCTCCTTGTGGGGTTCTTTCCTCTCCAGATCTTACTATTTCCCACTTCTTTCATAAGATTCCCTGCATTCTGCCCAAAGTTTGGCCATAAGTCTCAGTGTCTGCTTTGATAGTCTGCAGGGCAGAGCCTTTCAGAGGCCCTCTGTGGGAGCCTCCTAACTTGTTTCCTGTTTTCTTCTTCTTCTGATGTCCATCCTCTTTGCCTTTCTGAATGGGGATTGAGCATTTTAGCCAGAGACCTCCCTCTAGATTAGTTTTTTAGGTGTACATATGGTAGTAGGTTTATCCTATATTATATGTCTATATGAGTGAGTATATGCCGTGTATGTCTTTCTGCTTCTGGGATCTCTCCTTTATTTCTTAAATTGTAAAAGCAACCCATATTCATGGGAAAATACAACTGTATAAAAGCCCTTTGCTATCTCTGATTCTTTTTGTTTTTGTTTTTTTGAGACAGGGTTTCTCTGTATAGCCTTGGTTGTCCTGGAATTTATTCTGTAGACCAGGCTGGCCTCAAACACAGAGATCCACCTGTCTTTTCTGGGATTAAAGTTCTGCTCCACCATCACCTGGCTCCTATCCCCGATTCTAGTCCCAATAGTTAATAACTGATGCTAACAATCCTGAGAGAGCTTCTGGCCATGTGATGCTATGCAATGGAATTGCAAACGACCTATAAATGCAGAATGCATGCCCATGTGCACAGGCAGAATCTGATGTGTGAGAGGATACAAAGAAAGAATAGTGAGGTCCCGGTCAGGCAGAATGGAAAAGTCTGTGGAGATCCAGGCTGGAGTGTAAGAGGAGTTAAGGAACATGAGGATATGAGTGAGATTGGAGGTGGTAATGAATAGAAATACATCCCAGGTCAGAGTCCATCACTGAAGGAAGCCAGGGCAAACATTCAAGACGTGAAGGAGGGAACTGAGGCAGAAACTATAGAATAATACTGCTTATTGGCTTGCCCCTCGAGGCTGGCTCAGCTTGCTTTTATATACACCGCAGGACCACCTGTCCAAAGATGACACTCCTCTAGTGAGCTGGGCCCTCCCACATCAATCATAAATCAAGGAAATGCTTCACAAATTTGCCTGAAGGCAATCTGATGGCAGCATTTTTCTCATTTGAGATTCCTTTTCCCCAGTTTACTTTAGCTGTGTCAAGCTGTCAAAAAAACTAGTGTTACAAAAAATTATGTAGCTTAGAGGGTAAGACTCCAATATCTAGTTAGCTTTGGTTTCCTTAACTGCCAATTGGGAGTGTGTGTGTGTGTGTGTGTGTGTGTGTGTGTGTGTATGTATCCTTAGAGATTTATTGTGAATATTAAATGGGAGTAATATATTCCTAGAGCTTAAAATTCTGTAACAACCAACAGTGACAATGCATTCTCTCTCTCTCTCCCTCCCTCTCTCTCTCTCTTTCTCTGTGTGTGTGTGTGTGCGTGTGTGTGCACATGCACTTGTCTGTGCACCGGTGCATGGATGCATGTGCCTGTGCAGAAAGGCATGCTGCTGGGAGAGCAAGCCTAAGGTGTCATGGATGCTAGGCAGGCATTGTACCATTGAGCTGTACCTGTCCCGAGTGATAGCAATTATCACAGTCATTGTTAGTGTTTCAGCAGTATGCTGATGATTAAAGTAGTGCATCACATCACAGCCCCTTTTGTCTGCCTGCAGCCAGCATATAGAAAGAAAAACTGATAGCATCTTTGCTTTGGAATTCTTTCTTGGGTCACTATGCTGTTTTGCCCATGAATGCTTTGAATGTCCTACTTTGTATTGAATACCTTTGGGGGGAAATACTTTCTCTTACTTGGTGGATATAAAGCCTTGGAAATGTACAGGGATATTTTAGTAACCAAGGTCAGTGACAATTTTCTTGCTTCCTCTCCATGGTCTAGTATACTCTTGAAGAAGAGACCTTGACTGATTTCCTACACATCACCCATACTAGCCAAGATCATCAAATATAATTTCTTAGGAAAAAACACCAAGAATCATTAGGGTAATTTCTGCTTGCTGTCTGCATTTTAATAGCATTAACTATAACCTCCACTTGAGACATACTGGGTCAGTCATTATGACCCTTTGGGAACTTCTGTTTTGCTTCTAATTTGTCTTTAGACTGGCTGGCTTAAAACTCCTAGCTCTAATATGCTGCATCTTGGATGCTCTTAGTTGTCTGTGAAACTGAGTCTGCCTACACACTCTCCTATTCTTGATTTATAAATAGGTTCAGCTGCCAACAATTACACATGCTCTATTTTTCGATATTCCTTAAGATGGGTTTTGGAGGGTAGGTGGCTTTTACTCTCATGAAGTTATTGGAAACTCTCTCCGTTTTCCCACATGGGCATATTTGGAAGGATGGTGATAACTCTTGGCCTGGACACCCCAAGAAACAATCTTCAACATGCAGAGTAAATCCAGGATCACATTTCTAACAGCTCTTCATAGGGACAGGCCTAGGACTAGCTTGAGCATGTTAGAGTATGTGCACCTGCGCACTCTGTGTCATACATGGCCACACATGCAGTGCAAAACACTGGTGGTGGAGACATTAAGAAGACAGAGAAAAGAGAGACTAGTGCGGCCTGGAAACATGATGAATGAAGAGTAATGGATATGATTAAAGACTTAAGGTCTAAGGAAGGAAAAGGCACTGACTGTGTCAAGATGCACTAGACCTGCCTAGCAAATTAGAAGGGAGCATGTGAGGAAAAGCTGCCTAGGATAACTGGCTGGGAATTTCCGTTCTTCGCCAGCCTGGGACTTGCATGGAGGTAATACTGAGAACTAAATAGAAATTTCAGGAATGGCATGTTATTTATTTCATCAAATAAAGCACCAGGGAAACGAATTACATACCACCGCTTTTACAGAGGGAGGTAATGAAACCGAATGAAAGAAGAAACTTTTCCTTTGGGTTCGAAACTGGGTCCCCTGGCCTCACTCTGTAGTCCATCTTTGCCAAGGATGCTAATTAACTCTGACCTGAATGCGCCCCTGAGGCCATCTCTTCAGGTAACATCCCCATTTTCTCATCCTAAGTTCATGGGGTTAGTTTTCATGCCCCTAAAGCATAGCTCAGAGTTTCAGGAGAGTAGGGTGCAGCAGATGGGGAGCTCCAAGATTTAGAAACTCAGAAGACAGTGAGGGTTGGGGGCGTCTCAGTCAGGGATTACAGCGTAAACCAAAGGAAGCACCAGAGGATGGCTATTGGACTAGAGGCCTGAACGCATGACTCTTACAATTTGGACGTGATGACTTTGCAAGAAGTTTCCGTGTGTAACTTTTCAAAAAGAACGAAGGAAAAGGAAGGGAGAAAGGGAAGAAAGTCAGACACTAGCTTGGTCAGATCTCTTTCATGTAGCCTGAGGCACAATCTCAGGTGGAGGAATCCGGTTGGACCAGTGGGGGGCTCCACCGAGCTTTGTCCCAGGAGCCCCTGACGCCCCAAAGGCTCCTGAGAGACTCGGGAAGGTTTCCTGAAGGGCCCTCAAGGACTAGTTCCCGCAGGCTATTTGGGTCTTCGCAGGTTGTTAGTCTCAGCGAGGCTTCACCTTAACTGCGCCCTCGCACCTCCATTCCTGGGCTCAAAGACTCTCTCCCTGGGGCAGTAGATTTGCAGGCGGGTCTCGGGCTAAGAGAATTCCTAGAAGCCCGAAGAGGCTGCCTAGCTCAAGTCAGCATCCCCCAAGAGCGCTTAGGCTCCCGCTCACACACTAGTGGACTACAGAAGGCGGGGCCGGGAGCCGGGTGCCAGCAAGGTGAACAGCCCCTCATCATCCCCGCCCACCCAGGAACCGCGTCCCATCCCAGTCCAGCGTTCCCAGACTGACTACAGGACACGCGGGACGTGGAGTTGGAGCTGCTGGGGGTGGCGGAGGTCAATCAATGGCAGGCATGACGGGGAAGCGGGACTGAGCTGCTGCGGGACTGAGCTGCTTCGGGACCTCTAGGATACTTGCCGGCCCGCTCAGCCTGGAGTGGGGACCGTGAGTCAGATCTCCAGCGCCCGCGGGTCGGGAGGGAGGTGGGGGTAGGTGGCAGGTCAGGAAATGACATCAGAGGCCTGTGCTGGGGAAAGGGTGGTCTGTGCCCGGCGGGGGCGGTGGTGAGTAGGGAGGCCGCAGGCGGACCTTTGCAGAGCCTGAAGCCCGGGGCAGGACCCGGGCTTCTTCCTGGGGGAGTTTCCTGCCCGGTCCGCCCTCCCCGGCCTCTCCCCGCCCCCTCTCCGGGCCGCTCCTTGTATGGTCTGGGCGCCGCTCTCTCCCCGCCCCCTCCCTCCCTTCCCTTGCGTGTCGTCCCTCCCCGCCTGGCTAGAGGCTGCTCCGGACCGGGACGCAGAGTCCGCGGACTCGGCGCCTGGGCGGTCACCGGAGACGCGGCGCTCACGCTCCTGCCCGCGGTAAGGCGCGGGGAGCAGCTCGGCCGCCCCGGGGAAGGGGACACAGGGAGGAGCGGGTAGGGTCACCGAGGGGAGCTTGGACCAAGGGGTGTCAGCCTTGCACCGCGCTGCGTAACCTGGTGACCCACCCCCAGCAGCCCGGCCTGGCCATGGCGGCCCCCCGCCCGCCTCCCGCGATCTCGGTCTCCGTCTCGGCCCCGGCGTTTTACGCCCCGCAGAAGAAGTTCGCCCCGGTTGTGGCCCCGAAGCCCAAAGTGAATCCTTTCCGGCCTGGGGACAGCGAGCCTTCTGTGGCAGCTGGGGCCCAACGAGCACAGATGGGCCGGGTGGGCGAGATCCCCCCGCCGCCCCCGGAAGGTATGCGGCTGGGCTTGGGACCTCGCTCTTTCTCGGGAGCCAGGTGGGGGTCGGTGATTTGGGGGAATTTGGGGGTGTCTGGAAACGCTGTTGCGGAGGGGGCTGGGCGCTGGGTGGCTCTCCTGTCCTGAGCAGATGTTCTTACCTCATCTTGGAGCTCCTGGCTGGTAGCCAGGACCCTTGGGACTGTTCCAAGTCTCCCGCCTGGGGGTGGGAGGCGGGAATGTGGGCCAGGAATCTTCCCCTCTGGATCCGTTCTCTGAAGTGTAACGGGAGCTTCATGGTTTCTCAGCCTAGTCCCGGCCTCTCTCGACCTGTTTCTCCCAGGGCGTCCTGAGCCCTCGTTATGGTACGCACAGGGATGCAGAAAAGAGTTCTTGGATTAGGGGGTTAGAACTGCCTGCCGAGGAGAGAGGGCCGGTACTGACAACCTTCTCTCTCCTTCCTACCCAGATTTTCCTTTGCCCCCTCCTCCCCTTATTGGGGAGGGCGACGATTCAGAGGGTCCTCTGGGAGGTGCCTTTCCACCTCCGCCTCCCCCGATGATCGAGGAACCATTTCCCCCTGCTCCTCTGGAGGAGGACATCTTCCCCTCCCCTCCACCTCCCCTGGAGGAAGAGGGAGGGCCTGAGGCCCCCACCCAGCTCCCGGCGCAGGTAGGGAGGCTTTAGAGGGCAACTTTGCGATAGGTGGGGTGGGGATACCACCGTGGACCGGAGAGAAGTCTTTAACTCTCTCCTATGGGATTGGGATGACAAGGGAAGACTGGGATGGGTGCCCTGACCCCTGATCCTCCAGCCCAGGGAGAAAGTGAGCAGTATTGACCTGGAGATCGACTCCCTGTCCTCACTGCTGGATGACATGACCAAGAACGATCCCTTCAAAGCCCGGGTAAGGGGTAGGGCACGTAGCAAAGGCTGGGCCCGGAAGGAGAGGAGGGGATACACGGAGGGAGTGACAGCTCCTCTAAGTGTGTTTTCCTCCCTCTGCTTCCCCTTACAGGTGTCGTCTGGATATGTCCCCCCACCAGTTGCCACTCCATTTGTTCCCAAGCCTAGTACCAAGCCTGGCCCTGGAGGCCCAGCACCCTTGCCTCCTTGGAAGGCCCCTTCTAGCTCCCAGCCAGCACCTCAGCCACAGGCCAAGCCTCAGGTCCAGCTCTTTGTCCAGCCTCAGGCCAAGCCCCAGGTCCAGCCCCTGCCTGTGTCTTCCACTAATACACAGCCCCGAGGTCCCCTTTCTCAGGCTCCAACACCAGCACCTAAGTTTGCTCCAGTGGCTCCTAAATTTACTCCTGTGGCTTCCAAGTTCAGCCCTGGTGCTTCAAGTGGACCTGGGTCACAGCCCAGTCAAAAATTGGTGCCTCTGGAAGCTTCTCCTTCTATGGGCACAGGGTCCCCTCAGGCCCCTAGCTTCACCTATGCTCAGCAGAAGGAGAAGCCCCTAGTTCAAGAGAAGCAGCACCCAGTGCCTCCACCAGCTCAAAACCAAAACCAGGTGAGGAAGCCATGGCCATGGTCTGCATGCAGTAGGATGGCAGAATAAAGGGCAAGTGGGTTGAGGGTGGGGTAGAGAACCAGAGGAGCCAGAGTGGGTGTGGCAGTAGGGGAAGTGTGGGGTCACTTGGCAGGGCAGAGAGAAAGTTCTTCTGGAGGAAGTCTGGTACTAGCTGGGGCCTGGGTCAGTGGGTCCAATGAATGGCTGGAGCTTACAATTAAGAAGATATAACTTTCCCTTGTGCCTCTGCCCCAGAATGTTAAAAGGAAGGATGACATCACAAGCCCAACCTTAGTTTTCCCCATTCTTGGCTTTGGCTTAATGCCGAGGCTCCTCCTGGCTTTTCTGAGCAGTCTCAGGGCCCGAGGGCCCATCTAGAGATACAGGTATAGTCAACACCAGTAAACACCTGCTGGGCCAGCATCAGCTGAGGGCCTGGCACTGTGCTCTGTGCTCCCAAGGCTGGGACATGGACAGGAGAGATCTCTCAAACAGGTTCAGCCTTCTGAAGTCATAGGTCCGGGGTAGAATTTCCAGCCTGTTTCTCACAAGCTGTTTGACCCCACTAGTCAAGTTGGACAAACTTTGAGACTTTTTTTTTTTCTTCTTTCTTTGAAATAACTACCCATCCCAAACAGGTGAAGAACAAGTGAGCTTTTCTTACTCTAGCACATGGTACAGTTGTTGCTCAAAATATAGTTGTCGCCTGATAGTTCAGGGGAAGAGCTCTTTTGAGTTGAAGAGACCTAGTGGTCATCCGACTGATAACTGTACATGTCTGTACGTACTTAGACACCAGTGTAGAAGAAGTGTTGCTGAGTTCCCATAGGTCAGAATCTGAGTTACACGGATTTGAAAGTAGAAAGCAGCATGGGAACTGTCAAGTTAGGAACAGTTTCATGAGGTTGGTCTGCCTTCAAGTACTTGAGGACTTGAGAATCCAGAAAAGATTGAGAATAGTATTCAGATAGGAAGAGATTGTGTAAAATTCAAGGAGAACAGAAAGCACAGGATTCCTTTGGGACAAACTTTGAGCTGTTCTTGAGATTGGTGGGGATAGAAGTACTACGGAATATCTCCAGTAGGGAGGGAAGTTGTGCATATTGGAGAATCACTGATGATTTCTCAATAGTGTGTGGCTTGGCCAGGAGGACTGGTGAAAGTAATACTTTTGGAAGCTTTATACAAAGTTTTTCCAGCCGAGATGCATATTAGAGGTAGAGAGGTCTGTGATGCAGGTGAGTTCACTCCTGGGCCACGTAGTATTAGTTGCAGTGAGAAATAAGTCTCACAGATAAGAGCTATTCCAAAGGAAGAGCCTATGGGAGGAGGCAAATGATACGCAGCAGGGATAGGAGCAGACAGATGCCAGGGAAGCTCAGAGCCTGAGTATATTGGGGAGTAACAATATTACAGACAAAATAGAGAAGTGCATACGGGGAAATAGTTTGAACGGGAAGAGGAGGGGTCGGATGTCAGTATGTTGAGCAACAGGCTTCAGGAGCACTTGATCTCGCTGAAACATTAGCTGTCATTCAGCTAAGTGAGACTGTAATGCAGGGGGCAGGCCTCAAGCCAGAGGTGTGCGCACAGTCACACACACCACAATGTAGCTGACAAGTCTTCCAAGAATTCCATAGCAGGAAGTTAAGAGGTGTTAGGACCCTTGGGTCATGCTAAGAGGATGGAAGAGGATCCTAGGATGGGATCCGTAGATGTGGCTGAGGTGACCTTGTGCCTCCTCTTTGTGGGCTTAGGGAGTAGGACTCAGGTAAGCAGAGATTTGACTCAGGACTTGATAAACGACCTTGGGACTGTTTGTGCCCTATGGTGGTGGCAAAGTTGAGTGAACAGTTAGTGTAAACATGGAAATTAGTGGTGTAGCCTGATCTCAGAGTTTGGCAGTGAGAGCTGAGTGGTGTATAAGTCACAGCACACGGGAAGTCGAGGCAGGAGGACTGTTAAGAGCTCAAATCAGACTATAGTCTCTCTCTCTCCTTCTCCTCTTTCTCCCTCTGTCTCTCTCTGAATCTCTCTCTCTCCCTCTCTCTCTTTTGTCTCTGTCCTCCCTCTCTCTCCCCTCTGTTTGTGTATGTGCACGCGAGTGAGTGTGTGTGCGTGCATGCGTGTATTAGGAGTTTAAAGTTAGGGGAGGAGAGTCCAGGTATGCGTTTTAACCAGGAAACAGAAGCCATTGAGGAAGCGGCCAGAGATCTCTGAGAGCACCAGTTGACCCCAGAGGCACTGGAGGGAGCAAGAACAGGGTGACTACACCGTGTGATTGGGGAGAAAAAAGGATGAGGGAAGTTAGACTGGCTAGCTGCCAGGCATTTGAGGGATGAGGTCATCGGTGAGGGTGAGGGAGGGGGCGAAGCTCTTGGGGGCTCAGAGAGATGGAAAGGTTTGGAACAGCTGTGGCGAAGGCAACTGGGAGTCTGGTAGAGCCAAATACCAGACAGAGAAGGTGGGGCTGGAGGGTGTGGCAGGTGCTGCAGTGTTTTGGGAGCTCTGCAGTGTTCCGCTGCCTCTCCACCTACTTTCTGCAGTGTGGCAGCAGAAACAGGAAACAGGCGGTGCTGTGGCCTAGGGTTAGAGATTGGGCCAGATAGCCTAGGGTGGTAGAAGAGGCCTTTGTTAAAAGGTAGTGACAAAGCCATTCTAGGGACTTGATTGACAAGGCACAAGGACAGGTCCTGGGGCACTCTAGACCCTTCCACTATGCTCTTAGTGACATGATGAAAGGAGAGGTGGGGATAGTTGGGGAAGGATCTTCTGACCAAAGAAGTGATAAACCATAGGTTCAAGCTGTCCTGAGGTAGAAGATACGGAAGAAGAGTGTGTTAAAGCTGTGGGTGTTGAACAGTGATATTGCTGCTGGCTGGGCGAGAAGGCAGCAGCTGATAGTGTCCTGCAGGAAGGACATGGGTACCCACAGGGAGGCATGAATAGTTTATCCTTCCCAAGAAGGGAACAGTCATTTATAGTAGCATTTACTAGAGAGCGAGGATGGGCTGAGTCCATTTCCCTCAACGTGCAGAGAAGGGGACTTGGGAGAGCACAAAGGCAAAGCTTGCATTCATTAGTTAAGAGGAGGAGACTGCAGGAGCCAGTCTTAGAAGTGGCTGTGGTCTGCAGGAATGACTTTTGTGCTTTCCTTGGGAAGGCACAACATGGCAGGTAGAGCTCTGAGTACAATTCCAGGATGAGGGATAAGAGGAGCGTGGTGGGGGAGGACAGTGAGGTGACCCAGGGGATGAAGGGGTAAAGGCATCAGCAAGTGACGGGATCTCAGTATCCTGAGTGTCCTTAACCCCCACAATAGTCTAGATGCACCCAGACATGCTGGTGCGGGTCAGATAGCCCATCCTCACGTTCTCAGTTTTCTAAAGTGCCTTGTCACTACTCAAGGACACTCCCTCCCCTCTATAGCCTTTAGCCATCGAGGTCCTCTACATAGGAATGGTCTGGCCTAGGACCTGGAGACTTATGGGGAAAGACTACAAAACCCTCACTCAGCCCCTCACTTGGGACAGAAGGACCCAGGGTGTCAGGAGAGCTGAGAGCACCTGCCCAAAGCTTTTGAGTGTTTAACCTGTGCTTCCTGCCTATGTTACGTCTTCACACTGACAGGGGCTACTCAGAAGCTGGCAGGACGGGTAGGTGTGCGTGCCCACAGAGTGTGGCATTTCTCGGGAAGGGGGACTGTCTGAGAATGCTCTGTGAAGTTGGTATGTGGCCTGATGTGTGTGGTGCCTCTGTGACCTGAGCTGCTGTATGGGTGGTTTCCATTGCTTAGTTCTTCTGGCTTGACTGAATGCCTCCGGGTGCAAGGGTTTGGGCTGAATGGGTGAGGATGTCCCACTGTAGGAGATGCAGCTAAGGTCAGTCATGCCCCTATATTTCTATGTGTGGTGCTTGGGGTCAGGGAAGGGAGGGGGAGAGAGGAGCTTGAAGAGTGCAAGCATCCAGGAGAGCAGGTGGAAGCTTAAGTCTCAATGTCAGAAGCAGTCAGCTGGCCCGTCTGGGAGGATTTGGAGAATATAGAAAACACATTGGGGTTTTAGGTGCGCTCTCCTGGAGGCCCAGGACCCTTGACCTTGAAGGAGGTGGAGGAGTTGGAACAGCTGACCCAGCAGCTGATGCATGACATGGAGAATCCTCAGAGGCAGAGCATGGCTGTGAATGGTGAGTTCACCACCCACTCTTCCCCTGTTGGTGTGTTGGCTGGGTGAGCTTACAAGAGCTCCTGTGAGCTTCTGTCCTTGTTGAGATGATGGTTTCTGATCTTCCCAGAGTCCTGTGGCCAATGCAAGCAGCCACTGACCCGCTCACAGCCTGCAGTCCGTGCACTGGGACAACTGTTCCACATCAGCTGCTTCACTTGCCATCAGTGTCAGCAGCAGCTGCAGGGACAGCAGTTCTACAGCCTGGAGGGGGCACCCTATTGTGAGGGCTGCTACACTGTAAGTCGGTGTGGGGCCTTCTGGCTGGGGTGGGGCTGGATGAGTTTTGGGAGATGCTTCCCTCACCACCTGCTCTGATGGGTTTGCTAGGAAACCCTGGAGAAGTGCAACACCTGTGGGCAGCCCATCACTGACCGCATGCTGAGGGCCACTGGCAAAGCCTACCATCCCCAGTGCTTCACCTGTGTGGTCTGCGCCTGTCCCCTGGAGGGCACCTCCTTCATCGTGGACCAGGACAATCAGCCCCACTGTGTCCCTGACTACCACAAGTGAGCACCTTTCATGTCTCTTTCCCGTTCCATCCATGTTTTGTCTGGAAACCAGGCTGCCACCTGGCTCCAGGTTGGCCACAGACTGTAGAGT